TCCCCATGTTTGGAAAAAAGTGCAGTGTCGTCAGCGTAAAGTGCTATTTGCGAATCTATTAGGTGTGAGATCCGTGAGTTAAGAAATGCAAAAATAAATCTTGAGAACCTTCTGGCCGGATCTGCAAACAATTCATCTGTTCCCCTCTTCCCAACAAATAAAAAGTTGAGACATACCAAGAATACAATGATGGACAACACAAAAATGACTCATGTTAAGATAATGTTATGTTCGCATTAAAATATAAAACAATAAGACACGAGGAAAATGCCACCCCTAACCACATTCCTAATATATCCTAATAATCCATCACTAATAGATGGCGCAGACCGCGCCCTTTCTAGCTTACCACCGTCGGTACTAATTCGGTCGCGCCGCGATTTTGGTCTGAGGCCAAAGCAAATACTTACCATGATAAAAGGTATCATCATGGGTACTCGGGAGGTGACAGTTTGTAACAAATATTACAAGTAAATGTTAACACGAGCAATTATCCAAGATGCATTTCAGACTAAAATAGTGTACATACATCACATAATATGGGTAAGCTTCCAAATGTTTTTATCCGCAAAATTTGGAAATGTTAGCTTTTAGATTTTAATGTTAAATTGTTATTAACAATTGTAAGAAGGTTAAAACGTTAAAAAATTCAGATACCTGAATATTGGTTGAAAAGTTCACACGAAACGTTGTATATAAATATTATTATATGGTTAGCAATACAATTTTCAATGTAATGTGGTATTTTTCATTGAATGTTAATTACTTTTGAATCAAACTAGTGGTGCTAAACCTCGTGGTGCACGTACTTCCTCGCCTGTATTTTCACGCAAAATTCACACAAAAAACTCATATTTTCGAAAAATTGCACATGACCTAATTTCAAAATCTATCTTTAATATCTTAAAGATATTATTAAGAAAAAATCCGTATCTTTAATATTTTAGTTGAAGGAAGACTACGAAAAAATTTTAAACTTTGGAATTTTCGAAAAATTCAAGTTTTTAACAAGTAAGTGACATGCACCATTATTTTAAACGTCTTTAAAAATATTCAACGACAATTTTATCACAATCGATGGAGACATTTTTTTATTTAAAATTTTCCCGGGGGCTTCATGTAAAATACCCCCAAAATTGAAATATCGGTTTTAAATTGAAGGGGCCGCGACATCAGCCAGATCGATTGCGGAGTAACAATTTTGGAGAAAATCAGCTGAACGGTTTAACGGCGACCTTTGTTCTCAACCGGACTGACTGACGGAAAGACAGACGTTTGCCGTCATTCGATTTTTCGGTATCAAGGATCCAAAAATATGAATTGTGGCTACACTACATGTTAGAGTTACACTTTTTTCTAAATTTAGCAACTGGATTTATTCTCTTTTACGTTACCAGGGCCCTGTAATAAGAGTTTTTCTGCCGAAAATTCGCCGTTTTGTCGCGCAGCATCTCTATATTCCGAAGCGATAAAGTAAAAAATAGGACAGAAGTGATTATATGTAAACGATACCTTTTTCCTCTAACAGTCTAGAAATATGTTAAGAGATACAAAAAGTAACACGTCCTCTTGTTCTGTGTGCGTGCAGGGGCAGCAGCAGCAGCGCGCACTAGCGTTCTCCTCCGCCGCTAGCTCGAGCGCCGTCGCGGGGCGCGGAGCGCGTTGGCGCTGGCGGCGCTAGCGTTGGCGCTGGGCGCGCTGGCGGCCCTGGCGCCGCTGCGCCTCATGTGCGGCGGGCGGGGCGGCGGGCGCGGCGTGCTGCACGCGGCGCTGCTGCTGCTCACGCTGCTGACGCGCGAGGCCGGCCGGCTGACGGCGGGCTTCCGCGTGGAGAGTGTCACCTCCATGCACGAGCGCCTCGAGGTGGCGCGCCAGATCCTCGCCGAGGTGCCGCTCATCGACGGGTGAGTAGCACCGGCGAAACGGGGGGGGAGGGGGGGCGGATAGTGGACTCGCCTTTTGGCGTGCCGAGGGAGAGAACTTCTCTTAAGATGGCACTACTGTTGAAACAACTATGCCATCATCCAGAATGAGTTTATTGCTAATTAATTGCGAAAAATAATTTAATTGCTGATCAAAGTTCCGAGTAATTAATGGTTAACTATTATTTAAGACTTAAGCTGGGATAACCAGAGTCGGTTACCACAAAAACAAATGTGCCATCTTGTACGATGATTTAATTGCTAATTAATTACGCAAACATAATTTGATTACTCTTGAAACTTCCAAGTAATTAATGGAGGACTGTCAATTAAGACAAACTGCTACCATACAATCACTAACAAATCCCTCGACTCCAAAATCATTCACATTTCGGCCGTGGTGCAAGCAAGAGATTGAAAACTCGCCTCTTATAGTGGCCAATTCAGTGCCGAAATAAAGCGGTTAAAAAAACGTTCTCTCGACCTACATTCAACATATTTTCTAGACAAAGTGTAAAGGTCCGCAGTGCTGTAACCGATACTGCCGTGTTATTTTGTCACCGAGACTTTCTTTATAGCAGGATGGTGGGCTAATTAGCTGTTGTTCCATTGAAATCCAGACGTCTAAATTTTGCGTGTAGTTAGTATGTTATGAAAAATGTGCTTTAAATATTTTTGTTAGGGTAATTCACCTAGAGGATAATCCTTTGAGGTGTGTAGCATGCCTCTATATTATTGAAAAAAAAATAACACGTTAATACTAGATTAAAATTAAGTGGACATATCTGTATATACATTCTAATCTCTTCTGCTAAATTAATCCGACTCCCCCGCGGTTTTTCTCTGGATCCGTCCCTGTAATATAAAATTATTCGAATAATTATGGATTTATTTTACTTAAATAAACATAACTTTTATTTTTCTGATGATGTAAATATCTTAGTACAAACAAAAGTTTAATAAACAGAATATTAATTACAGAATTAACCGTGCATTTGCCTTCGAAAATAAGATAAGACACGAAGGGTTGATTGTGATAATGCTGTTGACAATGTTGAATGTGGAATTTATGACTCACGATAACGATCGGTTTTAGAACTGGTATTTAAAGGGACAGCTGGCGAAGAAATTTGTACTTTCAATATTTAAAATTCCCTCTATTTTCGTGTAACCCGATGTATATAAACTGATTAAGAAAGACTGAGAGGTTAAATTGTGACCTTTTCTCCCCGTGGTTCACAAAATGCTCTGGAAGTAATTATCACCGCATGCACTTCTTTGGATTACCGTATTATAGCCCAGGGAAGTGAATGCCGTTACTTTTTACACTGGAAAATCTTAATAGTTTTGTTGACATTTTATATAATCCTTGGAAATCAACTTATATAAAAATAGAACAGTACGGAACTTATTATTCACGGAGGAATCACCCTTCTTTCAGTTTTCTATTCTATGCATTCCATTCATCAAGAATACATTGTAAATGGAAATATTTTTTAATGCCAACTTTATAAACAATTTTTATGACTCCGAAAATCGCACAGACAGTGGAGGATTATGAATCTTGTTCCATAAAATAACATACGCCATTAAGAAATTGCAGGTCGTTCGGCGTTTTTATTAACAAAAAAACACAAGGAGGAAAGAAAAAACAGTACATTACATTACAGGAACTAAGAAAAATTAAACTACACATAATTTAGAAGCACGAATTAATTAATACAAATTACACATACAATTTGGAACATTGGTTGAAAAGAACACAGAATTTGTAGAAACTTCTTTCATTTGTAGTGACAGTTTTGGAAGGTTCCCCTGCATCCAACGTCTCTCCACAACAGAGGCTTGTTTTGGTGATTTCGATCTTATTACCCTCTCATTATTCAATGTACTTTTCAGAGACACTAGATGAACGCCATGCAACGTGACGTTTGAGAGAGGTTCTGCATGGAATATTGCGCCATTCACTCCGTATCTAAACGGCCACACATATGAACATGTAATAATTGACAATCAAACACCAGACGTTATTTATCGACGAGCATTAGTCAAGCATGTACCTAATGTACCACGTATGTATCAAGTTCCAGTTTCAGTAATCATTGATCCCTTACAATAATTTTATAATGTTGTAATACACAAATAGCGTATACAGATCGTTTGTAGTGAACTTATCGTTTACGTATAGTAGAAAGAGAATAGGGCCTAAAAGCGATCCCTGTGGGACTTCACATGCAATTGGCAAAGAATCAGAAGGGTGTGTACATAATGTTCTATTATTCCAGTAAGGTATACATACCCTCTGAGATCGTTGTTTACGGTACGAACATAACCAATCTAGAGCAAGACAACGAATTGCATACGAAGGTAATTTTGAGAGTAAACTGTTATGATCAATGACGTCAAAAGCTTTTGAAAGATCAAAAAATATTTCAATAGGTACTTCGTTTCAATCCATGGATGACGCGACATCTTTAAGAAAAGAAAATATGGCTATTTCCCTAGAATTTGATTTTCGAAACCCATGCTGGCAATCTGAAATCGCGTCGTGTTTACTAAGAAATGTTTCCATACTTACGTAAAAAAGTCTCTTTAATATTTTGAAACAACCAACAAAAGATAAATTAGCCGATCATTTTGAATTTCATTTTTGTTGCCTTTTTAGGCAAGCGGCTTCATCTTAGCTGTTTTAAAAATATCTGGAAAAATTCCTGTGCATAGATACATTAAATATGTGAGTTAACGGGTGTATAATGGCAGGCGCGCAAACCTTTAACAAAGAATTCGTAAATTCATCTAAACCGGCCGAATATTTATTTTTTAGTCTGCCGATTATTTTGATAAGTTCATAGAAAGAAGTTTCGGAAACAAACATTGTGCCTAAAAGTTTTGTGGAAACGTCGGATGCTGAACTTTGTGGCTGAAGACCCTTACTGATCTCGGCAGCAATTGTGGGAAAGTATTGGTTAAAGAGACTAGCCATTGTTGCCGGATCGTTAAAATTTTTATCGTTATTTTTTAAAATAACATTCTCTACAAGATTTGATCTTGATTTGGTCGAATGTTTTACTATATTCCACATTGGTTTTGTTTTATTATTTGACTTCAAAATATCCTGGTCATGTTTCATGATTTTAGCCTGCCGTATGGCTTTTCGTAATAATGATTTGTATTTTTTAAAGTAGAGGAGGAATCCTTGAGATACGTAATTTTATTGCGCTTGTACAATTCGAAAACCGGCTCCTAACGTCGCTCGTATTTAAAACATGTGGTTACGGAATAAAACATAATATTATCAATTCGTTTCGCAATATACTATTTCTTACGAATTAATTGTGCGCTTAAGATGGTTCGTTTGTGCACAGATTCTAAAGAAAAGGTTTTCAATTAGACAAGAACAAATTAATTTAGGAGAGATAAATTATGACACGCAAGGTAATTATGGCAATTTGACTTACGTTCACGTATAGTTTTCTCCGCATTAATTGTGTATAGGAGATATTTGCAAATTCATTGTTATATATTTTATGTAGTTATAAAGTTAATACAGCAGTATTTTGTTGCAATGTGAACTGTGATCTAACATCCGCAATAGTCTTAAGTATAGTCGTAGTATATGTAGAATGTTCAATTGGTTTAGTATTTCTCTACTTGTTCGTGATCGATCAATCTAAATCCTGCCAAAAATCTTAGAAATTTCGTTTCAGAACTTTGTAAAAAACATTTTATTTTCTTATTCTTGAATACGTTACCCCTTCTGTACGAACTCTGAATTGAATGCTTTTTGTTAATATATTTTTAAGTGCTCCATTTCTACTAGTGTTTTAGCAGTAGAGATTTGAACCACACTTTATTGTCTTTAAAAATTCTTGATATGGGAAAAGTTGCTTGACGATCCGCAGATTCCTTTTGGCGTCGCAGTGAACAGAATATCGCTTTCCCCCTTTGCACAACTTCACGCGGTATTACGGGACGAAGCAGTGTGTTCTTTTTATTGGGTGAACAAGCTGCATCATCCGGTGTTGCCCAGGCTTTGCGTAGAGTCAACAGTCCACTTAAACGTCTTTGTTTCGTGTATATGAAAAGAGTGTTAATATCGATGATTTTGGAACTCGAAAGCAGACACCTCAGTCGTGCTTCCATTTCGATAACTGGCCCAAAGTGTTCTATATCTATCCAAGCCTTTTTCTGCAAACCATGATTTTACACTGTAAGTTTATCGTTTGATTGGAGCGTCGCCAATAAAAGTATTCAACGTTACGAGATTAAAATGAAACTATTGAATCCATACTTATAAAGATGTTGCCGAAAGGGGTGATTCGGAAATAATTTTGAAATTTGAGCTGGAAATACTTTCGACTTAATTGTTCTATTGAAACAAATGAAAAGTTATTTACTACGAAATTGCATAAGCGTTGATAAAATTAAAATCCACTTTCGCCTATATTCTTACTATTTTTAAGATTTTCACAATAACCTGATATTCCGTTTCTTTTAAATTTCCTGTTGACGAAATTGGGAGGAGCATATTTCGATGATATGTAAACAGTTACTTTGCTCTTCTTGAAGGTGAAGTGGGTAAATCTTCCTCATTTTTAAGCGATTATAGAAATTCCACTCTTCCGATCAATGCGATTCATTATTCACGGCAGGCAATAAGGTAGTTTTGAGAAAAAAACTTTACGCTCTGTTTCACGCCCTCGGATGGCCCGGTAACATTACGCGCGCGTCCTGGCGGATCAGTAGATTCAGTGGCTCCTCCAATTTCCAAGCCTCCCCTGCCGCTCCCAGCACGAAACGCACTATTTCCCCTCGATTGACAGATATATCCCCATACACGCGACAAATAAGGCAAAAAAAGAAGTGAAAGGCGACAAAAAAGCGCAAAGAGAAAATACAATGTATTTTCAGTTTTGTGCCAGTCGTTAAGCAGATTTTAGCTTTACCGGTGCTCACATCTTCGGCTTAGGAGAATCTCGAAACACAGCGCTCGTTTCTATAGCAACCTCCGGGCGCCGCTCCATCATTTTTGCGATGTTAAGCGCAAACCTCCGCCCACCCTCTCTCCCACTCCTTTCGACCGACACCCTTTGCTTCTCTTTGCACCTCCCCCCCCCCGCGACCCGCCCCTTCACAAACGCCCGGACGTATTTTCAGCACCGACAGCGTACAACCACTCGCCGGCTTTGCGCTCGCGAGCGCCCGGTTGAAGAGGCGGGGGCGGAGAGCGCTGAGGTGCGCTGGCGTTCTTTCTTTCGCCCGCCATAAAGCAATGAATATTTAGCCGGCGGCGGTGGAGGCGGCGACGACGGCAGCGGCTGGAGCTGGACGAACGGGAGCGAGGCAAGGGAAGCAGAGGGTGAGAGTGCGGATGGGATGGGGGTGGAGAGGGAATGGCGATGGTGCGGGAGTGGCTGAGTTGTAGGCGTAACTGGCAAAGATATGGAGGGTTGGATGGGAAGATGAAGGCAATGCCTGTGATACGGCTCGAAAAAAGATGGACAAGCCCTTGGCAGCAGGTGGATGACAAAAATGAAGATAAGTATGAAAGTGGATGGAGATGACTATGATGATGGCCTGAGGAAGGTTGAACGGGGTAGGCGTGAGGACGAGAATGAAATGGGATGGCGTGGAGTGGTGGGATGGGGATGGCATCCGTGGGAGTGTGACCAGAGTAGCTGAAGGGTATGAACTGATAGTAAAAATGATACGAATAAGGTGGGGAATGCGGTGAGATACCGCTGGTGATGGCTGAGCGGTGGCTGGGGCCTCATGGGAATGGATTGGAGGGCGTGGCAGAGCTCAGGAAAAGTAGAGAGATACGGCTCGGTAAGTAGCTTGTGATAACGATGGCCGGAGGATGGCACTGGAGGTAGTGGCGAGGTTGGAAGGGCAAGAAAAAAGAGAAGTTGCGAGTGCTGATGAAAATGGGGTGGGCATACCGCTGGTGATGTCTGAGCGGTGCCTTCGGTCCCCACAGTGAATTAAGGAAGGAAGGGAGATGCATCAGGGGAGGAAGCGTTTAGAGACGGCAGGCGAATGGAGATAGCGATGACCGAACTGTGGCACCGGAGAGAGTGGCTGAACGCGAGTGCCGAGGTAGAAAGAGCAAGAAAAAGAGGCACGGAAGGCAAGAAAAGATAGTCACATTGGGCAAGGAGGTTAAGACTCTGAAAGAAGATAACGTTGGTGTGGGGAATGGCAAGGGCGGAGGATTGGTGACAGTGGCGTGAACGCTTTGAACAGGGGTGTGGTAGAGGGTGAGTGTGGCTGCTGATAGCGATGATGGCAATGAGGGTAAGACTGTGGATGAAGGTGAAAACGGGCGTGGGGATGCCAGTGGATGAGCATTGGCGACGGTGGCATGAACTGTCTGAACTTGGGGGTGGTTGAGAATGAGAATGGATAGTGATAACGATATTGAACGCAGAGGTTAAGATTTAGGATGAGGATAACGGTGGTGGGGATGACAGTAGCTGAGCATTGGTGACAGTAGTGGAAACTGTCTGAACAGAGGCGTGGCGGAGGGTGAGGGTGGAAGGTGTTAACGATACGATGAGGTTAAGACTGTGGATGAAGAAAAACGCGGGTGTCGGGGTGGCAATTGCGAAGCATTGGCAACGATGACATGAGCTCTCTGAACTGGGGCGTGCTAGAGAATGAGGGTGGATAGTGATTGCGATAATGAGCAAAGAGGTAGAGGTTGAGGAGAACAGTGGTGTTGGTACTGCAATGGCTGAGCGTTGGTGATGGCGGCGTAAACTGGCCGAACAGGGGCGTGGTAGACCGTGAGGGTGGATGGTTTTAGCCATGATGGGCAATGCGGTTCAGACTGTGGATGAAGAAAAACGCGGATGTCGGGGTGACAGTGGATGGGCATTGGCGACGGTGACAAGCAATGTCTGAACTGGGGCGTGCTAGAGAATGAGGGTAGATAGTGATTGCGATAATGAGCAAAGAGGTAGAGACTTAGGATGGGGATAACGCTGGTGCTGGTACGGCAATGGTTGAGCGTTGGTGACGGCGGCGTAGACTGGCTGAACAGGGGCGTGGCGGAGGGCCCGCGGGAGGGGGCGTCTCGGAGTGGCAAACGGCGGGCGCTGGCGGAGGAGGGCTTAGCTTGGCGTAATCAAAAGCGGCCCGGAATGGCGGCCGGGCTCTAATTAGCTTGGCGTCGCGGAGAAGCACGGCCGCGCCTGGCCGGTGGGGAGGCGAGGGGAGAAAGGGGAGGGTGGGAGGTGAGAAGGGGAAAAGGAGGTGGAGGCGGAGGGGAAGAATGGGAGGGGAGGGGGAGACGAGGGGAAGAAGAGGAGGGTGGAGGCGGAGGGGAAGAAGGGGATGGTGGAGGGGGAGGCTGTGCATCTCGGGCGCCGACGGCGTTTGTGGTGATGGCGCAGGCGGCGGGCGCGAGACGGGTCCAAGGGAATCTAGTGGGCGAGCGGTCAGAGCGGGGTATTGTGAAGCGGGGCCACGCGTCGAAGATCAAATGGGAGGACGTTAATGAGGATGTGATAGATGACGTGGATGCAATGAAATGCTGAAGGATGTGGATAGGCAGCAGGTGCAAGACAGGAATAGTTCGGTGTTCGTTGACCTACAGATATTATCTCGTACTTAAGACTTTCAACTGGGTGTTTGTGACTATGATTATACGTGTTGGTTCATTACCGAGAACTTGCTGTATTGAAAATTTGAACACACATATACATAGGGTGAGAACATTCAAGCTCTGAGGAATCGTAGCTTACACAAATGGCTTCCGATCGGAAACAACAGGTCCACGCCAACGACCGAATGAACGTGCTTTGCGCATAAAAGGAGATTTCTCCCTTGGGTTTATTACATAATTTCGTAACAGAAAATTAAGTCTGGATTTGTCTACTTTTGTCACCTCAGTTGTGATTCTCATTTCATTATATGTAAATCGCTGAAGGTTTCGGAGGGAAAATTATTTCGGGAATGAAATACGAGTGAAGGATTGGAATTGGAAGTGAAGGCAGAGACGAAGGAGAGTATTTGAGAAAAATATGTCAAATAGCATTGGTTATGAAAATGATTGATCGTTTTGCCAAGGACCGTGGTAATCACAACGTGCCGAAAAAAGATAGATTTAACACTATTTATTTGTAGTTCTCTTCAGCATAATTAAAAATATCGAAATAACCCGGATTTGAAAGGTTGTCAACAAACATGCTAGTGAATTCAGACTTACATCAAAGCCAGACTTTACAGAAAACGAAGAACCGAAAGACGGAAACGGGCTCGAAGAAAAACAAATTAAAAAACAAGTAGGTTAGCCCTGCCTACCAAAACGACCCTTTTCAAGCGGGCGTCACGGGCACAAGGCCCAGCAGAGCCAGACAGAGGAACCAGAGAAGGCGTAGAGATCTGCCTCGGCGATAAGAGGGCGGCGAACAAGCCGGGGAAGTCGACGTAATGGCGAGGGCGACCGGCGTGGGTGGCTGGGCGCTCTATTGGACGGGGAGGGGCTGCGTGGGGTGGAGACGGCTGCCGCCCAAAGCGCCAGATATAGCGCTGCACAATGAGCAAGAATGCTCGGAAAGTGATCAAAATGTGAGCAAGTTTCTTAGTCATATTTGTGTGTTTCGTGGTCGTGGGTGTTACAAAAAACGCTCATTTTAATATAGAAAGTCTAACGCTCATGCGGACAAGCTGAGCGGCGTCGCCAAAGTTCCCGCGCTCCGGGACAAAACAAAAACGGAAAGTCAGTCTACCGGTGAGTGTCGAACGAAGCAGAGCCCTCGCCATTCTTTTCAAAACATAACTCCACAGAATACTTGTCGAAATGAGCGATACTGTCAACAAGTCAAAGTCAACAAACTTGCATACTTGAAAGGTGTTATTTTGTGGTGAAAGTGACGACCAAAATCAAGCCAACGGGGAATTTCGTCAACGGTTGAGGCGCCAAAGGAACAAACAACGGATTCTACCTGGAAGTCGGCACAGTCGGTTCATTATCTAAATTTACAAGGCCCCCTCCACGAAAAACACGTTCACATCTTAACACCAATTTGGACGTTTCCGGATACTTTTAACCACATGGTCTATTTATATTTTTCGTGAAAGTGATTCAGTATTTGTTCCTGCTTGCATTGTCGGTTAGGTTTATACTTTATTTCTTCTTACTTCTAGCGAGATACACTGTGTATACGCAGTGAACAAGTGGTTGCGCAAATTTACCTCCTTTTCATGGCACGACTTTTACCTCATGTCATTACTGACTCCGGTAATTAAATCGGATTTTCCATGTTATTTATTAATAATTTATTTGTAATGGTGAGAGGCTCTTAAGATTCGGGTACATATACATTTCATCGATTTATTACAGAATCTCGATTTGACACAACTGTGCAAATTTAAAATGTGACCTGAAAATAAGGAAAGCTGACTTGTGGGTAAAACGGGTGGACAAAGACGCGAGATGGTGGAGACTCGGACGGACAGAAACGAGGACGGGCAGAGACAATAGTGGGCGGAGGTGAGAGTGGGCGGAAACGAGGACGGGCGGAGACGAGGACGGGCAGAGATGTGGACGGGCGGAGACGAGGACGGGCGGAGACGAGGACGGGCGGAGACGAGGACGGGCGGAGACGATGACGGGCGGAGACGAGGACGGGCGGAGACGAGGACCGTGCAGACGAAGAGGGTGTGTTGGTGAGGGCCAAATCGACACCCTGCGCTTTCCCTATCGTAGTTGCTATCAGCTGCCCGGCCGCCTTCACCGCCACCCCCAACCAGGTTTCGTCGACCCGGGGCAGCCGCCGCATGCTGCCCTACACCGAGCAGTCGGCCCTTCGGGCCCATTTTTCATTCGCCCACGCCGCGCGTTGTTCTGTTTCTTTTTGCTGATTACGTTCGTCGATTTCGTGTTAACCGGCCCGAGAGGGCAGTGCCAGTCCTCTTGCGACCAACGCCACGGAACGCTTCCAGTAACCCCACGCTGCCCGGCGCCAACACATCCTTATGGAGCGACTGTTTTTTGCAAAATATTTGTTTTCTTGGGGGCAAATCATTATGATTTAATACATCAAGTTCGAGGAGATACAGAGCCGGAATGTCAGATGTGATGGTGGAGATGCGTCAAGGACGATCACTAGGGCGGAAATATTGAGAGTGACGTCGACGTTGACGAGGTCGGTGAAGCTGACGAGGAAGATAAAGTGCACGAGGACGGTGCCAAGGACGAGATCCGTATACGTGTTGAAGGAAGGGCACAGCTGGGAGTTCATTTAAAGCAACACTTTCTCTAATTGCTTGTGTGCTTCAGTTTTGTAAGGTGTCATATTTATTTATCTTCATCAAGGTACTAAAAGGTACTGCAGTTTTGCGAAGGAAATTTTCTTCCAGTTCTTCGAAAGTCCATTGTCTAACGATGAAAACGTTGGCGAATACATTAGCATTTGACTTGCGCCAAGTTATTGGATCATTTCCTGGCAATTCTGTGTAGGACATCAGCACAGAGCCGAGTTCATGGCGTAGGCCAGATACATCAAACTCTCTGCGTCAAAACGTGACCTGCCAAATACCAATGCATACTGTGTTTTCTACCAAATACGGGGCAAATTCCACATGTGTCTTCGACAAATAAAATTTCACTCACTCTTCAGTGCAAATTTCATTGGCAGAAAATGAACAACGTCGACCTCTCCATTCCTTAGAAG